AGCTACACGATACACGATGAATAAATTGTCAATCGAAATTTTCCTGAACGCAACTCTTTGGGCATAAATTAACGCAAAAGATCAAACATACTTTCATCTGCCGCTTCCGTTTCCTCATTTTTTCTTTTCTGGTTATGGTAAAGGTCATTTGTGGTCAATTTAAGAGCAGGTTCAAACGATGCGTTGTCTTCGAGATTAAAAGCTCTATTTATTGTACAGAGATGTTAACCAGTTCTCCTGGCAATTACAATGTTTTCATGGAATAACATCCAGGAAATAACGAACCTTTCAAGTATTATCACGTTCTTCAACTTGCCTATGTCCAATCTGATCAAATGCAACTTTCTGCGAGAACCATCTAGCACATCTTTTACTTGGAAAACATTCGGTCCCCAAGTTTCAGCTAATGCTTTTAAAGCAGCTTCAAGATTATTAATTGATTTTTCAGAAAATGGTATTCGAAAAGTGGTTTGTCGATTGGTTAGCCTTACAAAAAGTAGTGTTAATAATCTAATATACAGGTGTGCAAACTCACGTAATGTGTCTTCCTTTACCTCTTTAATATTTCACGAGATTCAAGTGGTAGCGACAGTACAGTGCGAAAAGGTCTTGTAAAATACTCTAATACAAGGCATATAAAATCTTGCACAGACGGAATTAATTTTAAAGCATTTGTCGCTTTGGAATCGGATTTTGCAATCAAGGCCGTGTTCTGACCAGAAGACTTGTTCAGCTGAGCAGAAGCTTGACCGGGATTACATAACTTTGTGTACAGTGAACGATTTTTGTTACGTTCGGCCTTTAACCGTCTGAGTTCGTGAAGTGTGGTATATTTGCGGCTCGGCATGTCAACGGGAAGATGGTTTATTATTACGGCTAGAAATTTCCTAATCGTGACCACCGTTTGTCCGACCAAAGCATCGTGTAACTCTCATTATCTCTATTTGTATCGCAAAAACGCTTTTTCTTTTACATTACAAAGAGAAATTCAGTTCATTCTAAGACGTATAAATTATTACTAGTATTGTTTAATACACTGATTAGTTGCACATATACACATTGTCAAAATTTGGTTTACAGACTACTCAAATTCTGCTTACATAAGAGTATCGAGGCTATTGCTAATCACAAGTGAAAGTACAGGGAAGAAGGACAATTGTTGGTCGATAAATACAAAAAGAAAAAGTGAGATCCTTCTTAGCTGACCGGGTTCTGTACGAAAATTTTAAAACATAAACTGTGACGAATGCGTAACGTATGGCTTTGCGGGCCTAATAATGAGGGAAATTATAGGTTTCTGCGGAACAAGAATGCAATATTGTTTAACAGTGCAACACTCAATTTATTATAAAATACAGGTTGCCACTTCTCTCAGACTGTATAGTTTGCTTATCTAATTGGTTGAGTAGTGAGACTCTGTAAATGCACACATTATTATTATCTATGGAAAGTTTATTATATGTACTATTTGCAATACCACATTTTTCTCTTTTGACATAGGACGTTGATAGCAATACAAATTGTAACAGTATTGTGTTTTACTGACGAGTTTATTAGTTTGTAATATTAAAGTCGTGATTCAAGACTAGACTAGGAATAATTTGGTGTATTTGGGGCAGACTGCAACATTTGATCATGTGAGCTAAAAGAGGCTGATGTGGCTGAAAATGAACTAATTTGGCGATGACATTTTGGTGAGGCTTTGCTTGATTTATAATTGTGGCTCATGTCCAAAATCCAGACTAAGTGCTACTTGAAAAGATTTTTTGTTATAATATGGAAGAATCGCTTCCACTGACAGGTCCAGGCCCTCAACATAATAATAATAATAAGAGTTCAATATCAAGGTAATATCAATGTACAGTATGCTATTACTATGTATTTTATGAGCTTTGATATGATATCATTCTAAGATCAACTTATCTGTCAACAGGTTATGGTCTCTGCATTCAATATGTTCTGTGTGCTGGTAAAGATGTATTTAGTATTATTATTATTATTATTATCTGCTGCCAGATAGTTGTATGACACCAATCTATAAGACATTGAAAGTACTTCCATTACCATTATATCTGACAGAGAAGTCTTGAAGAAGATAGAAGGCTTTCATAACTACATGTAAGATGTGAAAACTTCCTAAAGATCTCATCAAGATAAATGAAATAACTTTCACATGTTATCACCAGCTTCAGTGACATAACAGTCTTAAAGGAGGTTTATGCAGCTGTTAAAGACCAGCCATATGCAGTGTATTCTCTGGATGGACCATCAGAAAGCAAGTCACACAAGTGCAAGAAGGGTGATGGTAATGAATCATCAACTTATAGGGTTACATTGACACCTGTTTGTTTATGTTACCATGCCAAACCAAGGAATGTAAATAAAAGTGAGCTGCAGCAATGCATATCAAGTGTATTGAAAGCATTAAATTTGCTTCATCAAAAAGGTAGTATTAATAATCAGCCTCTCATTTATGTCACATAATAATAATAGCATGTTCACTTTGTCTAGTTTTGTTGCAGTCTGCCTCAATTTAGGCTGTCTGCCACCTCTAACCATCATTTTCATCATCTTGTCACTATGATCTCTCCATGTCCAACCCCTGAATATGAAGTCTCTTGTGATAAGGTGTAATGTGAATAATAATAATAGTAATAGAGATTTCTTGCGGAACAGTGTTACATTTTGAGATGAACTTCTATAACTTCTAGAAATCAATATACCTTACAGTTCTTTTGACACTTCTTTGAATTATCATGCACTTATTTTGGGCAGAAATCTCTGTGAAAGATTGCAGTTTGTTTGGATGACCATTACAAGAAATATTATTTGCAAATATTCAGCATTTCATTTATTTACGGGTTTGAGCCATTATTTCTGGTTTATATACACTCCTCATTATTTCCCTCTCTTGTTGGTGCTGATGTTTGAACTTTGTGAGTCTTCTTTGGTGTCCACAATGGATTGCACATAGAATTGTTTGTAATAGGCTCATCAATTTTAAAAATATTATCAAAAGCATGAGATTTCGCAACTTCTAAATCATTAATGAATCTGTTCATTTCGCTGTACATATCCTATGTGAATGGTTTGAGTGAGAACATGCATTTTGATATGATAAAGGACACAAAATACCTACTACTATACCAGAGTTCAACACACCAAACAATCAACAGCACACAGAGCAGTGCATATTCAGTTGTACAGCATGCTAAAATGTCAGCCCTGGTCGTTCAGTGAAAAACTACAATTATTGGCAAGACTGGCGAAGGTGTCAGTGGTGCCCTTCGCAAACGCGATGTATGCAATCTTAGTGAAACGCGATTAGCATTTTTATTTGCACGCAGATTCTTGTTAGATGATGAATATAACGAACCATTTTTATTGAATAAAGCTTTTTTGAAAATGCAAATATTTTGCTTGCGATTAGATACAGTCTTTTGTGTATATTGAAAACACTTTGATGCAAGTGTTTTGTTTTGGATGTGCATTCATCTTGCTTTTATACCCCCTAGTCGCATTTGCTTATAACATTCAATTAGCACTAGGTTCATATTGAAAGCTAAGAGTTTTAGTCGCGTTGCAATAGGTCTAAAATGTCACTAAAATTTAGTCTGGATTTTGGACATGAGCCACAATTATAAATCAAGCAAAGCCTCACCAAAATGTCATCGCAGTCTGCCCCATTTACGGTTAGACTCCAAATAATTAATGATCTAACGGTTTGCATTGAAGTAACTGGTATAGTTTTAGCATTTACTGTTTATAAATACGACTATTTGGCCTAGTCATATACAATGTTTGCAGTTTGATGGGTTAAACGAAGACTAAAAACTTTGACATTTATTATAAGAATATGATATAATTCTCCAATAACATCAAGCAAGTTATCGTATAAAATAGATTGTGGATTGTAATAATCAGATGATTAGCTTTTGATATACGAGAGAGTAATACAATACGTTTATGGTTAACGTATTAATATATTAATAGTTGCATACAACTCGATTTCTTATAACGGTTTCAGTTTATAGGGTTATTTTTTCGAGAATATATATTCATAGTTATATGGTATAGTGTCGACATCAACACATCAATTGAACGTCTCTCTCTCCTACTGTTTAATATTAATAGTATAAGCCAAATTTTCAGGGTTACATATTCTTCTGCTATAACAGGTTTTGTAGATAACAGACACTACACTATTCACGATTTTGAATTCAAAATTGTTTAGTAATATTTGTTCTGTAAATGGTAAATCGTTTAATCCAAAGAAGAATGTTCTCGTATTCGACTTGTAAGACTATATGCGAGAATACAATTTATTACAAAAATTACGCAAAAATTTATTTACCATTATTGCTATAAACATTCCTATTCAATGCTTACTAATTAGCGTAGATCTTGCGACTCTGTATTAGTCCGTATGCTACATTTATGGATTTTTTGAGCCTTTACTTTAGTTTCGTATTGTCCAGTCTGCGCTAGTAACTTAGTAATTGATATACTTATCTTTTTAAAAAAAATTGTCATAATAAATTTGTTTATTACAATTATCGGTTTTTTTGATTATGTTGAGTGATTGAAACTCGATAAAGTTGATTTTAAACTGCTAGCGTAATACTTACCATACGATTTTGTTCATAAAAATTCTACATGAACGATTGTTAATTGTCTGTGCATAGACCATGCAGGAATACAGGAAATATATTGTCAACATGCAATTAAATGTGTTGGAAGAATATATAGTCATAAACTATCAGGTTCTATAACATTACTTGTCGATTACTTTATATATGTCTTGGAAATAATATGAGCATTGCTTAACTTGTTAACAATACGCAATGATCAGGGATAGCAAGTCAAAAAAAATAATAACTCACTGGTAATTTGGTGCTGATGTGCTGTAGCAAGAGTCTAGATGCACCCCAAGCGTTTCCCTTGATGTGACTTTTATGCAACCAATATAGTAATATAAAACTGGAACGGACCTTTATTACTCCGAATGTTATTATTATTCATATGACGATTTCGGAAAACCGACTTTCACGTGAAACTTTTGACTCGAAGCTGCACAAAATACAAAAACTCTCTCTCATTCTACTTTTGCTTAAATGCAGAAATTAGTCGTCAGGTAGACTGCCGAGTGAATTTGCATGGATAGTGGTGCAATTCTGATACTAATAAAAAGAAGGAAATAAGGATAAAAAATACAGTTATCGATGGGTAAACAAGGATGTTGATCCAAGAATTTTAAGTTTCACGTGCGTAGTTCCGTGTTACAAATATTACAAATGGAGCCAGTATTAAAATATCATAAATGTAATGTTCATCGCTAATCGATATTAGGCATATAATGGGTTGATCAAAGTCTTGTCTTCGAAAGACGTCGACCACGCATTCTCCTTTTCAAGGCACAGTCACCGACATATTGTGATGATGTGATTGATATGCATAACTTTCATGACAAACTAATAAATACTCTGCTCCCAACCTTTCGAACTTTACGACGTAATCCTAACACAATATAACAAACACTAGATGATTCATCAGTCACAATGAGTACAAGCAAAAGTCCCGAGCCATCCTCTTCTTCAGAGCGAGGTTTAAAATTTAGAAAGCGATGGGAAGATAATTCATACTGGGAAAGAGCAAAGTGAGTCGTAAAGAAATGCACGTATACTATGTATCTATCAGAAATGAAACTAAGTATTTGAAATGCGATCATCTTCTTTACGACAGGAAAGGACCAGTATCTACGGCATTGTATTTATGTAAGTGTAAAATAAACATGCCTGTTTTCGCTTATTGGGTAAATCATTAACTTAAAAACATGCGACTTTTTACTTTTCTTATTCTACCCTAAACAACAGCCGTAGTATATCCCAAAGTCTTTTTCAATCACAAAATACGTAAGACCCCGCTTAATACCGGCTGGACTTTATACCAAGAGACGGTAATTCGCGCATTGAAATGGTCGGCGGATTCACCATTAGGTGTCTCTAGGCGCGCTGCTAATTTTATAGAATCGATTGGAAAGGCCCGATGTTCTGAACCATTGACTACGGTGACTAATGTGCCTGGCGTACAAGGTCATTGGATAGGTCCAGAGACTTGGAATGGTCGAAAAGCCGAAGCCATTCTTTTCTATGTTCATGGTAAACTTAATCGTTATCATTTGCATGTTTACTTTAATAAACTAGGTCGGAAATATGATCACTACTCCTGAAATTATTTTAAACAAGTTTTTGCTTCTTTTCTTTCAGGAGGAGGCTACGTAACTTTTTCATCGCTTTGCTCATTGCGACCGTTATGCTATTTATTAAAAACGTTAAGGAAAAAACACAACAAACACGTCCGCGTATTATCAATAGACTACCCACTGGCACCGGAAAATCCTTATCCACAAGCTCTCAATTATGCAGAGAACGCATATCGATGGCTGACAACTGCAAGTGGTTTGCCTGGTAGCCAAAATATCATCATTTGTGAGTATACGTGAAAAAAAAATAATTGCCACAAGAAAACATCTCGATTCTTTTTCTCTCCTTTCTCTCTAATTATATCGTTAATGTTTCAGGTGGTGACTCTGCCGGAGGCGGTCTTGCATTGAGCCTGCTTCAAAGCCTATACAAAGACAGCGGCAGTTGGCAAAACTCAATTGACGCCAAAAATATGCCAATGCCTCTTGGTGCCATACTAGTATCTCCATGGGTTGAGCTGAAATGTGATGCTGCATCATATATCACAAATGCAAAATATGACACTTTACCGGTACATTTCTGCCCGTTTGCCGCCGAATACTACATTTATGGATACAAACGATCTCAACTTTTTCAATCGAAATTGAAAAATAAAAACAATGATAAGAAATCCGATGTTAACAAACGGGAAGATTCCTTTAGGACATCAAATTCCAGCGCAACGGGTGCTGAGTTCCGCCAAAGAAACATTAAAAATAAATATACCGATCCATACAAAAACCCGATGATAGCTGCGAAATATGCCCCTCTTGAGCTATTAGCAAAGTTTCCGCCATTGCTAATCAGCTATGGAGGAAAAGAAATCTTTAGAGACGATATTGAAGAATTCGTGCAGAAGTGTGTGGAAGCAAAAAAATTGAAACAAGAAAAAAATTCCAAGCGTTTATTAAAATCTGACGAGAAATATTTGCATTTCGAACCACCGTCTAGCGAGACCTTCCATCCGGAAGTACAGGTTGAATATAATCCGGAAATGGTTCATATGTAAGTAGTAGCTGCTTTTGGAGAGTATGCAATGCAAGAAAATCTTTTACGCTATCTCATTTATACATCGTTGCTTTTTTTGTCTTCGTTTGTTCAATAGCTACCCGTTTTTAGATTTTCTCGGAGAACACAGCCGTGAAGCGCTCGATCGTTTCGCCGGATTCATAACAGCAAGGCTTGACTATTCCAAACATAAACCATTGATTCTTTTAAATTCATATAATTCCCAAAATTATATGGAATGATTCTTAAAAGTTTGCAGATTTCATAGAACAAATACACTTTGAATTAGAAAGCTATAGAAAAAAAATTATTATCGCCTAATCATATACGCGTTATTACTGGGTTGGTCGGGGTTTTGAAATCAATTACAATTACAATTATTGTTATCAAGCTAATTTATTTATTATCTTATAAAGTATTTTTAAATTAACAATTCAATTCTCGAACGACATTATTTAATATTAGCATACAACGGAGCTGGAACTTCGACTCAATTATAACAATAAGGACAACAAAAACAACAACAAAACAACAACAATAACAATACGTAAATAAATAAGTTGCGAAACGACGATTATTCAATATCCGTGAAAATACGTGTATGATAATCGATGGTCTTTGTAATCTTGGATTTCTTACTAGTTCAGAATGCACTCTGGGGAACTTGTCAAATCATCAATTCGGTCAATTTGAAAAGAAGGATATGAAATCATCTTCATTGATTACTCGCCCGAACCTTTCGGAATCTGTATTTTCGGTCATGGAGAGAAATTTGTCCAAATTCATCGTACATTCTTTTGTACGAGAGGAACCGATTTAACAACCAAAAAAATATATATCCAAGAATAGTAAAAATAAATCATATTCCTGCATTGACATTCTTACCATCAGTCGATATAGGCGGATAAGCTGGTGGCGGAGCCTTCCATGACCCATCTTCTTGCAACTTGGTTTAGCAGAGATAAGTAGAGATCATCAACATGTGTGCATGCAGAAATCATTCACCAAAGATTATCGAAAATTACCAACCATATGGCTGCGATCTGAAGCAAAGACTTCGAGATATGTCTTTGCGGGTATTAACCTGTATTTACTTTGTAAAAAGCAAATGTTATAAATTGGCGCGCACATCGTGCATGTTAAATTTCAACCGACAGATAAACTGATACCGTTGTAATTCTCGTTGGGGAAAGCGCGCTAATGCTGAACGGCGATAAGTTTCAAATTCGCATGGAAAGGGAAGCACCGTATCCAGGTCATAAACCCAAGATCTTTGCATAATAACAAGTCAGATAATTCATTCAGTTCTTATTAGCGTAAACCAGATTTCCCAATCGAACATGTAAATTTATACATTTTCACAACCTTTTTTTTTGCCCGTTCTCAGCTTCGGTGTATAAGAGAATTACATGGTAATCCTAATAATTGAACAGCGTTCGTTCAGTTTAAGCATGTTGCTTGTTCGCAAATCACCAACGAAGGAATTAAGTGACATACCCAGCAGACAAAGCCTTCCGCATTTAGACCAGCACCAGCACGCTGTCTGAGTAAAGGAATCTAATAGTCGAGCGACCGCACATGCGCCACGGTTGAAATTTGCAAGAGAAGTTTTTTCTAATAATGTTCAAAGTTGATCAACTATGACTACTTATAGCAACCAAATCCTACCGAACTCCACTCATTCGTAATAAAGACTACGTAAACCTCACTTGCAGGCGACGTAATTTCCCCATTTGCGTCGTCTTCTTCTAGTTGTGATCCACTTAGAGCGAGAAATTTATGACACAGGTGGTAAACATTCTCTTCACAGTAATTAGGAGTATATTTGTGTTCAGATTTAAAGTATGGTGGCATGGCTGTTGGGCAGTAAGTAAAGTTCCGCATGAAAGCTTTTGCTAGTTAGGTAAATTTATAGAATTTCGATTTATAGATTTGTGTAACCGTATGGATCACAGAATACGAGAGAATATTCGACTAAAAAAGCCTTTACTAGTAAATTCGACACTTTGCTGACAGGACAATAATGGGCCTTCCGTTTGCTTCCTATTGTCCCTAACAATGCATTGTTGATAATGGCATGATTTATTTGACTGACATTGTAGACCAGTGTCCGGTCATGCGTTTCCTATTCTGGTTTCTTTGAATGCTTTTGCGAGATTTTATTGGTGGATTTGATAAAACAATAGACGAGCAAGTGACCGCGTTTCGGTAATGATATCTATCTACAGCGATGTGCTACCAAGCGCTTGGATGTGAACAGTTGTTTAGAGAGACTCGAACCAGTCCATCTGACCGCTACCATGGTGCGTCAACAAAAGGCTTTGTGAATGAATGCGTGGCTTCATGTGTATAACATCAGTATTTAAATAATATAATTAATATTTAATATTGATAATTTAGTCTGTATAACGCTAATTGCGTCAAAAATGATGACAAGACCATAACGTTAGCGTTAGACCAACTAGAAAACTAAGCAAAGATCGACAAATCTTATCCAATAGTGGAGTAGCATGGAATTCGGAAGGCGAGTGGTTTTTTATAGAAGGTTAATGATACGCTAATGAACGCTTATTATTATAATTCTGATTGGAAATTGGTTATAAAAACAGCACCATTTCACCCACATTTTCACTTAAAACTAGTTTACAATCGATCAAAATTACAAACATTAAATAATCAATATCAAACGCATTTTATTCCATAAAAAAACTGCAAAATGTTTACTTCCGTTGAATTCTTTTGTGGGATATTAATCGAACTTATTCTCGGTCTCTTGTTGCATTATACGACTTATAATCAGCTCGACAATATAAACCAAAACTTAAACCAATAATTCGAGTGGTTGAGCCAGGAAAATTTAAAGTAAAATCTAGATTCACTAAATTACTCGGCGAGGAAATACCTAGAGAACATCGAAAGATTATTTGATAAAAAACTTGAGCTGGACTCAGCCTTTTCGTTTAAGAAAATAGCATCTAAAATTTACACGTTACGTGAAGGAAAAGGCATTGCAGCCTCAACTCTAAAAAACTTCTGCCTACGAAAAACTAATCCGCGGGAAATAACTGTCGAGGCAGTCCGGGAATGGGTTGATAAAGAAAAGAGGAAGGAAAATTATTATGTTAATAGTAATAATAATGATATGTAACATAGACTTCACTAGCGCGACTAAAGTATAGGAATACTCATTAATGGCTTTGGGTCCGAGTATTTCCTCCCATGCAATTGCTCTAGTGAATCTTCAAATGTATCTACTTTTTTTAAGAAACAAGACGTCAAGATGACAAAATACGTGCATCAATTATTGTAAATATTTGGTTACGTTAACCTTTTGCAATACATATTCAAATCTTTGCACAAAAAAGCGAAACTCGACAAATTGTCCCAACTTAACGAAAACGAGATTTTTATTCATATTATTTTATTGTCATATAAACTACAATTACAGGAATAACTTTTGTTGGAAATTGTTGCTTTGATCTCTGTTCAAGTAAACGTTTTATATACGATTGTCATTATGTGTGCGATTATTCTAAAATGTGAGTAAATTGGTATTAATATTAATACTTTTTTATTCAATTTCTGCATACAGGAGAACAATAGTTACATTTTGAAAAGATCTAGAAAGTTTCCAATAATACGTCATTGATTAAGCCACTAGTATTAGATCGCATCGCGCAGTACATCTTACACGCTTCGTTAAACATGGACACCGCCGAGTGGAAACAAGAATTGGAGAAAACTAATGCGAAGTTGGGTAGGTTGGAAAAACTGGGGCGCGGACAACAGAAAGAGTACCAAGGGAAGAGGAACGTGTTGGAACAACAAGAGTAGTGTATACGTAGTGTAGAGTAAGTTTTTGTTTAGTTTTTTTTGTTATTATAAATAAATCCTTACCAATATTTGTTGCATAGTTTTTACATTGAATAAATATAGTGCAACCTCTATAATAGACGACTATATTAATATCTACTCCCCCATCTCCAGATTTCATTCTTATAATTAATAAATGTTAAAATGAGTAATTGTATATTCATAGTCAAGAACCATTTAAAGAACGTTCACAGCAGGCTGTCCACTATACGCCAGGATTGGGTACCTGACTGGCGACTTTTGCAAGCTGCGGCCTCGATGCGCTTTTTAATTCAAATGATCAATGTGTCCAATATTTACCACGCCCGGACACTCCCTGATGGCTTCGTCGGCAACGGAGAATAACGTTTACAACCGATAAATTATTATATGTAATGTTTTGATGTATCCTATTCACCACGCCCGGGCCCTGACAGCTTCGTCGGATGCGGGAATCGATATGTATATACACCAACTGTGTTTACCGAAACCCGAATTTACACCCAAGTGGCAGCGTACTTCAGATACAATAACTATTTAACAAGATACTCAGTGAAAACTCACCCTTCCTCCACTCCACTTCGTAACCTTTTCCCTTCAGAATATCAAGTATTTTTTTTTTCAAAAGTGTATTCCTTTTGACTCGGATTCGACATGTCTTGGGATAAATCAATATTTAATATTATCATTTGATTAAATCTAATAAATAGAAAACAATTTCTTACTTCAAAAGTATAAGTTGAATATCGATAGTGAGAGAATGGGTAATTAAATATATAGTACTATTACAAGTAGACAATGTAAATTAATTAAAACAAATATATCTACTCATCTTTTTCCAGCTGGGTTTTGACAACTCCAGGTCGAGCTGCTTCAAAAAAATACCGATATTTTTACAAATCAAGTCAATTTTTTTAAAGAAAATTCCTAACACGGAATTAAGATCTAAATACTAAAAGCCTTTTTCGTTGTCATAACGCTGTGCTTTGTTTAATCCCGCTGTACTTGATTTTTTCACAATCTCAACAATATGATCTACACATCTAGTATGTCCAGGTACCATAAATTTAATTCGATATATTTTTCACAAATTACTGAATAAGGTAAATCAAATGGTAGCGTTATTTTTATTCTGTCCTCCCGCATTATCACAAATATTTTAAGTATCTTTCACCTTTATTCAATTTCTTTATTCCACCAAATACCAGGTTTAGCGTTCCATTAGGGCCTCCCTATAAGCTTGTATTCGTCAAGAAGTAATTGATTTGTTCGCGTGCTGAGATAATAAATCTTACCTGTTGATCGGAATGAGGCACGTGGACATTTTGTGCTCAGTCATAACTGTAATGAGCAGTAGCGTCAATGCTACAATAATCAGCTTTACCTCTTGTTATAAAATGCAATTTTCTTTGTTGTTCTGCTAATTCGTAATAGTTTCTCTCCAATTTAGCTTTAACTAGATGTTTTTTAAACTTTTCAACAGAATCTTTTGTTTCTTTCTTACGAGAATTATATTGTAATTTGTTCCAGTTGGCATGTGTCGCATAAATCCGTTCGTGGACTCATATCTGAATGTAAGGCGTTGATTGGTGCCATAACTTGCATATTTTAACAATTTCAACATACTATTACTATTATTATCGTTTTCGAGACCTGCAATAAAATTACGATAAACTGATTTATAATTCGTTTCAGGTTTAAGCAATTGAGTAATTCAATTGACGTTTCTACCAGGACTTGGTAACCCGTGAATTTTCGCATAGTTTTCGAGACAATTCTTCGCGGTTGTAGCAACAGTTATATATTTTGGTTTTCCATCGCGACACTTTTTTACATAATTACCGTAAACACATGGTAACATGCCATTCGTCGCTAGATATTTCTGACGGTTTCGAAGTGGGTGTGATCAATTCCTAACATGTTTTCTGATAAAGAGGCATATTGCAATCTCAATAAAAGTTTTTTTGTTAGTACGCGTTTTATTTTAAGACGTCGACTAGCGATTATTTCTCCACCATTCATTGCATTTAGCTGAACCATTAAAAATGTCTTGCTAAGACCTAGAAATAGCTTGAAACACCTCACGTAATCCAGAAAACTTTTCTCTCGGAATCATTTTTGAACAATTGCAACCTATATCCAAGAAGCGCATTGCTTTTTCATATTCAGTAGAACTATTGTAATTATTATTATTCATACAGGTCCTATATATAATTTTAGTGCTTTGGTATCATGTGTGTCTTTAGTTGCTTTCTGCTCAAGAGTTTTATTGCAAGCATAACGTGCTGTTATTGACACATTACACTGTGTGTACCTTCTAAACCGTTCTATTCCCAGTCTTAATGTTCACGTTTGTAGGCCTCGAATTTTTCATTTACAGTAGTATTCCACCACCTCTAATTTAGGACAAAAACGAGTAAACGCTTTGAAAATTTCTCTGCGTATAGTGTGTCACAAACCCTGATTACCTGTAAAGGTTTTCTTGTTTTGTTTGTCAGATTTATTTTTACGTGGCCCTTATGATGTATGGTCGAATTAGAAGTAAATCGTTATTTATTTCTACAACTAAATGCAAAGGATAACATCAGTATTACTGTGTTTCACAATGATTTGCATTCTGTAGTAGCAACTACACAGTAAAGTCGTTCAAAATGTATATAAATGTATTCTAATAGTGCAAAAAATTAAATAAAAAAAATAAAACAAAATTTGAATAGAAGAGTATCGAAATATAAATTTATGAGTTTTTATGGTTGAAATCGCACACGGGTATATATATAATAAATCTCGTGATCAAATATTCAATGTTTGAAAATCTTTCATGAAATATCTGATCGAGCTGAAAATTTATGGGTAATCAGGGTTTGTAATATGCGACATGCAAAGCATTTAATCATTTCTGTCCTGTGGTGGAATACTTTTACATCCTACTGCAACAAAATGGTTATTGAAATTGTAATAAAGGAAACAGTCTAGCTGCTTTTATGATAAAAAACTACTACCTACAGGAAAAGACCATTGAGGCTATTCAACGCTGGATTAATGAAGAAACGAAGGAAATGTATAGTACTTAAACGGAGAAGATAAAGAATAGATGATGATAATGTTGTTGGTGATAGTAATGATAAAAAGATTCCGAAATTTAAGTTTGCGCCAAAGTGTACCAAAGAATATGCAATTATTCTGGTGCGTTTAGTACCATTTACAGTATATTTCAAGAGCGCGCATTCAATAATCGAAATAATAAATTTATGCTTACGAACAATTGAATTATTTACATGTATGACTTTTGATTGCAATTGTGTCAAAGTAGTGAAATTCGATCTTTCGTTGACAGTCGTTCGACGTTGGTGGGAAGCTTTTACGTTAGATTTATTTCCCTTACTATTACGTTTTTTTAAATTTTCGCTTCACCATGTGTTGGTGTTGGTGTTAATTCCCGTTTATTGATTTTTATTTTACGTTCTTCCTGATAAATTTCATAATAATAAGTAATTTTTTCTTTATCATGATTACTTTTCAAAACGTCATCAGTCACGCTGGTCAATTTTACAGCCACATCATAATCAGCCCCTCATTTATAGAATGTTCACTTTGTCGCAGCATGCCCCATGTAACTATAGTTTGCCCCATTTTTCTAAGCTAATGAGACGCCGTCCGAATTTTAAAAATCATGTGCTCAACGATTATTGGGATATTAATATATTGTGTTACATTCATTATATTAATATGCAGGCAGGTTTGATCTAGAAGATTATTGGCATTCAAAAGATATTGATGATAACGCCAACATTAATTACCAAATACGTATCCATCAATCAAGAAAAAAAATATATTATACTTTCAAATATTAAAGGTAAAGGCAAAAAGAATATTGCTTTATTCTTTTCACGGATATAGCAAATAACGCAGTCACAGCAAATAACGCAGTCGCGTGTCACCTTCAGGGATTCATGCAAGAACCTTGGTTTGGAAACTGATAGGCGCTTGGCAAAGAAAATAGCGATTACACAATCACAGGCATCATCCATTTTAGGCTGCGGCAACCCAACCTATAAAATCAGTACAATAACGCCTCCTCAGACCTGCGTTTCCCTAGTCACCGGTATTTCCTTGCTTCTTCACGTACATTTCGAGCAGTTATGACTTCGTTAACTTTAGAAACAATTCCGCCAGCAGTTCCACTAAATGAACGTTTTTCCTCGCTTCGTCGTTGGTACCAACGAACCGAAAAAACGTCCGAAGCAGCCGAAGCACGTCTGTTATCAAGGCTCGCATTTTTTTCCCTCGACGGCCAGAAAACGACCGGTAGTCCAGAAAATTCAAAAACAATTGCCAGAGTAGGATTAGTTGATCTCGATGGCGATGGAAAGAGGAAAATAAACACTCTTTCTATTGATCAGATGGGTAATGATTTCATAATAGGAAGAGATGGACTACAAACATCGTCGCTTTCAGAACCAATGGTCGATGCTCAACTGGGCTTTACCGCCGAGCCACAAACACAGGTCGACGTGCGGCATCAAAATACAAACATACAATCACCCTCAAGCACACAAAAATGTCTCGTCATGTGTCATGGTTATGGAGCTGGTCTTGGTTTCTTCTATCGTAATTATCATTCTCTGTCTCAGGTGCCTGGATGGAAGATATATGCAATCGACTGGTTAGGTATGGGCAGATCATCCAGGCCAAGATTCACGATAAATGCCAAAACAGTTGACGAGGCAGTCGACGAAGCTGAGGATTTCTTTGTTGATTCGTTAGAGAAGTGGCGCGAGATTCACAAAATTAAAAAGATGACGTTACTGGGTCATTCACTTGGCGGATATCTGGCAGCTGTGTACGCATTAAAGTATCCCGAACGAGTAGAGCGTTTGATTCTCGTATCTCCGATTGGAATACCAGAGAATCCATGTCCCCCCGGCGAAGCACGGTCTCCAAGTGGTCACAGGCTTCCCAATTGGATTGTTCGTTTGTGGAACGCCAACATCACACCGCAGTTGATGATGCGTTTGTCCGGCCCGTTCGGTCCGTCACTTGTAGAATGGTATACCTCCAAACGGTTTAACCATTTGGAAGAACGGGATCAGATTGATTTGTACGACTATTTGTTTCAGATATCGAGCGCATCAGGAAGCGGGGAGTACGCCCTGAATAGGATACTGTCACCTGGAGCACATGCTAGGAAGCCGTTAATTAGGAGATTGAAACATTTGAAAATGCCGACCACTTTTATATGTAAGTATTGTGCACGTCATTACGGTGGAAAAAGGTGTGCATTTCGAGATGTCTTGTTTCTTAACTTATTCTACTTTGTGTTTGGTAGATGGTCTTCATGATTGGATAGACTATCGCGCAGGAGAAGAAGCAAGGAAGACCATGAGCGTTCCTACAAAGTTAAAACGTATAAGTAATGCTGGACATCACTTGTATCTAGATAACCCTCCCGAGTATGATTATGCCATTGTAGAAGAAATGCTTGAACAACAACGTGTAGACTCGCAGATATCCTTGTGATTTGCTATTATAAAATGAGCAATATGGTTTGGTTCTTTTCGTGCACAACACTCGATTGCATTTGCTTTCTAATTATAATGTATTGTTACAAGTAAAGAATAAAAAGTAGTTGTGATAAGTCGCAAAAGTCTTGGCTTACAATCACCCGAATAACTACGTTGGCACGTACCATTTTAGGCGATTTGAATGCGGCCTCGCTTGATTAGAAGCTGAAGAGGTTATTCGCAGTATGTATGCTATAGCAAATTGTTGATGCAACTAACCTGATTCACAGTGACACCGCGCAAGTTAATAAACAACTATGAGAACTTTCTGAAGACGGTCTTTTCATATTCCATATAAGTAAGACTAAAACGTTGAGGTAGTATTTACATCTACGAAAGGCTCTCGCAATCATTAAACGCGCTGCTAATAGTAATTTGGTGCTGTATATACTGTAAGAATGCTGATTTTCATTCTTAAGACAAATAAGCTATACATTCTGTAACAAAATGCTTCACGTGAATGTGCTTGTTTAATTAATTACTATCAACCAATCACAAACTTGTTTTCTTCCCTATCCGCCGCAGCCAAAGTTCGCTACGCTTTCACCCACAGAGGTATTGTCAGTTATATGACTACGAAATTCGCCAACTCCCCTTCATCTCGACCGTCGACACCATCCTATGTAGGCTCTCCAAGTCCGCATGACATCACAGTTGGGTATAAAGTCTATGTAGATGTGAACAAAGATGCTAAAGATCATACCGAGGCTCGTAAAGCAGAGATATTGTCCGTCAGGAGTAACAACGGACACACGGAATACTATGTCCATTTTATGGAATTCAATAAACGTCTCGACGAGTGGGTATCGTTAAACAGGATAGACTTTTCCAGAGAAATTGAACGTCCGTCGTCAAAAAAACGAGCCAAAGGTAGTCTAAGAGATACCGATTCCCCTTCCCCGAATCATAATGGCAATCGTACTCCAATCCCTGTTTCTAAAAAACGCAAGATATCCTCTCTCGATGATCCATTTACGCCTCAATCTGAGGACGCTGACGTTGATGCATCACCAGGTACACCTGTTCCTGCCGTATTCTCCAAAGAACAAGAGATTGAAAAGCTACGTCACTCTGGATCTATGACGCAATCATTCTCTGAGATATCTCGTGTGAAGAATCTGGAAAGGATACATATCGGGAAATACGATGTCGAGACGTGGTATTTTTCGCCGTTTCCAGCCGAGTTTGCTAATGCTTCGGTTGTTTATATTTGTGAATTTTGCTTATACCATTTTATAAGTGAGCGGCAGTTGAAGAGACATTTACAAAAATGTACAGTGTTGCATCCTCCGGGAAATGAAATCTATCGCCAGGGTGACCTGTCTTTCTTTGAGATTGATGGCCACAAGCAGAAAACTTATTGTCGTAATCTATGTCTATTGTCTAAATTGTTTCTCGACCATAAGACTTTGTATTATGACGTTGATCCGTTCTTGTTTTATATAATGTGCAAGAGAGATAATAAGGGATGCCATATAATTGGATATTTCTCAAAAGAGAAGGAAAGTGGCGAAGGATATAATCTCGCCTGTATTCTCACACTGCCTCAATATCAACGCCAAGGTTATGGGAGATTATTAATATCATTTTCTTATGAACTGTCCAAGAAGGAAGGAAAAATAGGATCACCTGAGAAACCACTATCTGATCTTGGTCTTCTGTCCTATCGAGCTTATTGGACAGAGATTGTCGTTGAGCTGCTTCTTGAGGTTAGGGAAGCAAATGAGGAAATTACCATTGAAGATATATCTAATAGAACGAGCGTGTCACAATCAGATATATTACAAACATTACAAACATTAGGGGCTGTTAAACCATACAAGGGACAACAGATTATTTTGTTGTCAGAAGGGCTATTAGCCGCGTATGAGCGGAGTAAAAGGAAGAACAAGAGAAGAATTGATGAGAACTGTTTACAATGGACGCCTCCTCAGTTTACCTCTAACCAATTGAGGTATATTTAAAAAATAACTGAGACTGTATATTTGGTATAGGAGGTAATGTTCAATATGGCTGCTGCCAACTTTTTAAATGAATATATTTTACTATTGAAGGAGACCTGCCAATTATAATTAAGAATGCACTCATATATTTCATATTAATCTGTTTTCTGTTACATGTATCATAGGGTATTAGACTGTTATAATGACATCATTTTTGGGACATTGATAAACCTGGTAATAAAGTGAATTATTTATTTCACTCATTAAGCTAATTCTACAATGCATCTCAACACTTAAATTGGGCAAGTACAAGTGAACATTTGATCAAAAATTGCTGAAAAATTGCTAGTGTATAGTGTGGTTGATAATAATAAGATAACTAAAGCTTTGATCTGTAATTTATTGGTTGATATTGAGATAATTTGTACTTGACAATGACAACATATTCATATTAATATAGGGCTATCTTTGTATAAAAATTGTTAATAGTGAACTAATTTATATTATCCATCATGGAACATAAAAACTATAGCACAGTCAGGATAACAACTATTGCAACATCTGTGAAAGAATTATGCTGAAATTCATGGTAAATATCGCAAAACTATTGTAATATTTCTCACCTGGTACAGAAGTAAGAACCAAAAACTATCTTTCAAGTTGTATAGATAAAGGCGGAGCGTCGCTATATTATTCGCATTCACAGATATATAATATTTGCATTACGTTTATTATTAGTAAAAAACAATAATATTGTCAAAGACAAAAAAATCATGCAGAAGAACAATGCAATGCACAATAACACATGTTAAAATTTTACCCAGTCAACAACAAGCAAATCGTGCGTTGGTAACCTTTTTTAAAACCGAAACTTTACTTAGGAAACTTTATTGAGCGTTAACTTATAACAAACAGACTATCGACAGTTATAAATTGCTTGGGACGTCACAAGGATTTGGTATTTGTCACATTAATATTGATTATTATTATACCTGTCAGGAATGGATTATATATTAGAGCGACCACAATGTTCGTGTCAATACTATGCATAAATCTTTGAGAGATATGAGTTGATTGATGGTTTATCAGTCGCGCAATACCATCGACAAGCAATAAAATAAAACGAGCAGGTCTTTTATCGCACCTCCTTGTCTGTATTCTAGTCATCGCGTCGAACAAAGTTTAAATACCATTATCTAATGGGTCAAATGAAAGAATCGCAGTATAGAATTGAGCAAGATAATCTATCGAACAGAACTCGAATGTAGCTACGCATTTACGAACTCAATACCGGTTTCATAAGCTACATTTTCTTACAAGTAATCTATAAACCGCGAATTACATGTTTATTCAAAGAGCGTTTGAGTCACTAAATAATGAGCAGTAAACGATGTTATTATTGTAACTGTTGTTTCAGCTGAATCCAAATCAGCTATTTCTCGATTTGGAGTTTTGCGTTCTTTATTGGTTACATCTATTCTCGACTCACTAGTACTAGAATATTTACTTTCCCTTTCCGGACGTGATAAGGGTTTTACGTCATTATGATATCCTCGTTCGCCTTGTCAGTCAGTTTGTCAATATCACGCCAAAGTGTATATGCATCTGGACGCTTATCAGGATCAACATCACAACATTGCTCTCTTGGTGCGGAATCAGTCGCAGTCCGTCCATAATATCGCATATGAAATCTCTATCAAACCTGATCATATATACACATGATTTCTGAGTAATTTGCTTCGTATGGAGACTTTCAGTGTAAGATACCTCGAATAAATCCAACCAAAATGAGGGTTCGATTTTTCAATAACACATATTGTTATCATTGTAATAATAGATGATGCATTATTAGTGATTTATACGGACATTCTCCGTGGCCTTACGATTGTTATAAAAACGCGCGTTTGAGATACGAGTATTTCCAAATCAATTAATAAGATATGTCTACCGCTCCTTTTTACTAACTGTAGCCATCAACTGATTTGGACAAGACATTGAACAGTTTTGAACTCCTTTCTATGGCGCTATGCCCCATATGTACTCTATACTGCCGACTAACTGAAAATTAATCGCCAAGTTACAAGACGAAGACACCGGCAATTTTTACAACAAATCCCTTTATTATAGATAATGTTTAATACATATGCTGAATAAGTGTTATATGCAGCTCAATTAACCACTTCAATATTACTATATGTTTTTATTCGTCGTCGTCATCATCCTCCTCTTCGGCTTCCTCAAGCCATTTGGCGAAAGGCAATGCTTTGTTCCTAACTTCTTTGCTAATTATCTCATCGACATACACAGCGTCAGCTGTCTTTTTAAACAAAGCCTTATAACTAGCAGAGTCTTTACCCTCAATCCAAGCTTGAATAACCTCTTCACATAAGATATCGTTCTGATAAAGTTCCATGAGAATTTTGCAGATAATCCTGCCTTCAAAAAGTTCTCTACGTTCAACCCCAACGAGCATAGAAATGGCTCCAAGGAGAATATGCTGATCGTCCGTAGTTTGAACAAACTGCATAAAATATGAAAATTACGTTTCATCAGTATTACCGACTATAACGATAGTAACACTAAATTCTTTGTTACAAACTACAAGTAGCTGCATACCTTCTGGAATATCTTTGCCCTTTTCTTAATTTGCTTCGTAATTGATGCATCTTTCTTAAAACTGTCGTCAAACAATCCCAGAACGAGTTTCTGCAATACTTGTTCTTTGTCTTTGGCAATACCAAACTGCTTAATCATACTGTAAATCTCTTTATTGCCCAAAGTTTTATTCTCCTCCAACCATCCTTCAAATGTCTCGTTTTCACCATCATCGTCATCGTCATCGTCATCATTCAATACGAGCGTCGTAACGTTCGCTTCCAAGTCTTTCATCCGTTCTCTAACTGCCGCCGCAGAAGTATCAACAGCCCAATCATCCTCATCGACACCAGTTTCTTCAGCCGTGGGCAATCTTGCGGCTTCTTCTCGGATACGTCGTGTAAGTTCGTCGTCCGAGCCATCCGAGGAATTGGTTGTCGGCGATACCGGACCGTTTTCTGATTTAGATTTCTTGGTTTTATCGGACTTATCTTTCTTGGATTTACCCTTGGGAGGATTTGGTGGATTCTTCAGAATAAATGTAACAAGCTTATGCCGCATATCGACTTCGGACCGTTGACCGCAGGCTTTGCAGTCACGGATGATTTTTTCGTTTTTGGGTATGATCTAAAGGAAGAAATGAATTAGTCAATAAGTATTCCGATACGATTTTATGTTCATCCCATCTCGTTCGACTTGGATACGATTTACCTACCAAATCAGTCTCGGGATTATTACATTCACCACAAAGTACAAATTTCTTTATGAATGCATCAAGTAATTCTTGAAGTTTAGCGGCTTCGTGAGCGCCATTAACAATATAACGATCATTCTTTTCATCACACTTTACTTGGGCACCAAGCTCACATCCAAAAAATTTCGTGGCGTCTAAAAGGACAGTTGATAATGCGAATCAGTATCACTCTCAAAATATAGTTATATGCCTCGGTCAATACTTACAAGCTGGTGGACGTCCCAGGGAACGAGCGATATCGGACATATTAGGAACAACAGTTTTTATTCCGTTTCCCCTGCCTTCAATCTAAATGCATGAAAGTTTATGATTAGGACCGGCGTGGAAATCAAATACAATATGCTCACGTGACAATGTCATAATACCTTTGCAATAAGTTTTGGCATTTTATACCGATAGAAACGGTCCTTTTCATTTCCGCCAATGTTGAGGGTACTCATGTTTACTAATTCTCACCAAAAATCACTACAAAATAATATATTTTACAAGAAAGCTGTTTAGAGAGAGAAACACAAAAGCCTGTCATGGTACAACCGCTTCAAGTATTCTAGAAAAAAGTTAGCACAATTGTACATACGACGATATGTATGTAAGATGTCAACGCTTTTCTGTCTAGTAATATTGCATACGTTTATGCTTCGTCAACTGCTTCGTGTAAAAATTTTGGCGCTTATGAACAAAAGTATAACTATTTTCGTTTGGTGAACAAAACATGAAGTGGGCGAGGGGTTTGAGAATAGAGTGGGAAAAAAGCCAAGTTTCTTCAAAACGAACGAGTAAAAAGTGGTGTTCTCAGGATAAAATAAATGGGGGCGATTCTTGTAGAGTTGGGAAATGGCAAAAATTGACCGAGTCGGATGAAAATTTTTCGCATTTATAATTTTTTTCGACCAATCTTAGTCTTCGGCTTATTAAGCTTGTCATAATCACATGATATATAATATGCGCTCACATGGCAGTTTTTTGCTTTTTTTAATTTCCCATGTGACTGGATCATCCTACTTTAAACGAAGAACTTTAAAATTACTGCATATTCCACCTTTGCATCTAACGAAACGGTCCGATCCTGTTGATTATTTAATATTAATTTGTCACCGATAAAGTCAATGTCAATGTAACATATATAACGCTCTCTCTTAGTCTAATTAATATTAATCCCACGCCGACTTTCCGTCACCACCATTTCCGATACCTCCGCTCTCACTCTCTCTTAATATTCGCTCCCAAACTTCAACATCAAACGCGTGCACTTTCTTTTCTTTACTCCGTTTATCAGAGAAATCTTTCACAGCTACGACCCCTGTGACATTTACACTACCCAACACATCACTTGCCGATGAAGTGGGTGGTTCTATAATTGGAGATGTAGCTTTGGGGAGGTCCAATTTTGATGCTAAGGAATGCATCTCCGCTTGATCCTCAGTAACCCCTTCTTTCCGTGATACCGTTGAGTTCTCTGGTGGATTCGACTTCTTCACTCTCTTAGCATTTACATCATCCTCACTTTCCCTCTTATGTTTGCTACTTTTGTGCTTCTCCTTTATATATTTCTCCTTTTCGATTTTAACTCGTTTCCTCATATCGCCTTTATCGTCCCCCAGATCGTCATTCTTATTCTTGCCTTCCCCATATTCTGTGTTTTTATTCCCTCCCATGCTATCGCTTCTATCTTCTGTCCCATGATCGGCTTTTCCTTCATCAGAATCATTTTTTTGTTTTGCAAGCCTCTCGTTCTTTTCTTTCTTTTTCTCTATCCTCTTTTTTATTGCCTCTTGAGCCTTTAAGAATTGGGCTCGTTTCGACTTTATTTCCAAGTACTTCGGGTCAAATCTGTCGCCGTCAAGGATTCGAAGAGAAGATACCAGAGATACGACCTGGGGAAAATCGATTTAGTTGTAGTCGTTTGTCTAGGAGTAGAGTGTTAAGAACTAGAAAATTTATATAGCAGCTAATGTACCTTGTCGCGATTGTAATCTGCTCGTGAGCAAATAGGATTTCCTTTTAAACCCAAGTTATGCAAATTTTTCAGTGAAGATAGCACTTCGATGTCGCTAAACAACAACTAGTTATTAAAGGTTTTCGTGATCCCAAATTCTTACGTTTCATAAAAATCCTACCTCCAATTTTCAATCTCATTATGCCCCACTTCAAATACTTCTAATGCATTACATTCCTTCAAGGACTCTGGCAAGGTTTTAATATTATTATGACTTAATCTCAATTCTTTCAATTTTGTATTAAATGACAGATCCGGAATTTCCGTTATTGAGTTGTGAGTTGCAGAGAGTTTGATCAAGTCTGTTAGACGAGGGAAAGACGGGAGAGCAGCTATCTTGTTATGCGAAAGAACTTGAATACATTAATACCAAAAGTGCGAATACGGCCGTTGAAAATATGGAAACATAGGATTAGCATGGCATTGAGTCAGACTGTATCATAAATACGAAACTTTTCTTACCTATGGTATTCAATGCGGTTAAACTTCCAATGTATTCGACTTCTGTGATTTCGTTATTGTTTAACATCAAAGCATTAAGCCGCATGAGGAAGAGCAAATGCGATGATATTCGTGATATTTTGTTATTCGAAAGATACAACACTAGGTTTCGTGCGTGTCAATCAAAAGGGTGAAGAGTAAGAAAAAAACGATTCTAGATGTCTTTATAACTCACTCACATAATAGGAATGCATTTTTTGCTTCTATCCTTGATCAGATTAGAAAAGCGACTATGTAGCATGTCACGGTTGTGGAACTAATATCAATTTAATAATTCTCCGTCGACCACACATCAGTAGAATCGCATGATTGAGCGTCTGAGCCAACGCCATATACAGTCGAACCTCCATAAAAGAAACACAATCGAGACAGCCAAATTGTAGAGGTGTTCTCTTGTAAAGTTTATTCATAACCAATAAGTCAGATTCGTCCCATGACAAATGTTCTTTATAAGATGCTGTTTCCTTTATAGAGGGTTCTCTATGGAGGTTCGACTGTACAATTACCAGACATACGTTCCACCAGTTTTTGTTCCGGACCTCTTTTTCCTCTTACCAACCATTTAAATTCCGACACTTTCCCAGTCCATCGCAACTCTGCAGTTCATTATAAGACAAATTCAACCATTTAATTTTCTCTAATTGCAGCTTCTCCAGGCCATCGAGAGAATTCAATTTGTTTTTCGACAGATCCACTCGTTCTGGTGGGCAAGAAGTCAGAGAAATTGACGCAAGAGAAGTGAGGTCGCGCGAAGAGAGAGAAAGGATAACAGGGGAGGAATTGGCAGCAGACTTGTTCTTTGATTTTTGTCGGTCAGTTTTGAGGTTTCTTGATTTTGGCATAGTCCAAAATCTGCTGAAAAGCTTTGCGCCAGGATTGGATTTCAACGATCAGCTGACCTATCAAAAATATAGGTACGCGATTATACATAGCAAAGTCATGTTCACAATGAGTAGGTCAATGCAGAAAGGAATAAGCACTATCTCTTCCACACGATTAAAGCTGATTTATGCATTCAAGGGATAGAAATGAAAGACAAGAGGTCCAAACGCTATAATTAACTTGGAATTTTATTTAATTATTTTTCGTCAGAAAAGTATCGTCGAAATACTCATGCTTGATAAAAATTGATGCGTTGAAAAATTACAAGTCAACTATCTTAGATTGGATCAAGAATGTACTATCTATCATTCAACAATGATAAACTGCTGTTCATAGTGACCGTCCTGGTCCCAATATTATTATTATGGTTGCATTTGAACAGGAGAGCAATAAAGTCAAGTGAACTTCGATTGGGCAAGCTGATATAGTGACGCGTATTATCCGTCGTTTATGAATATGAATCTTAAGTGATATTCTAATGTTAAAGCTGGCGTGCGCATTGAAAGGAACATGATGGTCAGTCAGCTATATGATGGCGTTACAAGGGCTGACAAAAAAAGGAGAAGACGATGATGAAAATCACAGTTGTCTTTTATTGATATAGTATATGTAAAAGTCCAGAAGTCAGTGGTCACTTTGAATCTGCAGATTGCTACACACAAAATATTAAAAATTCTAACAATAACGGTAAAAAATCAATGCGTTTCTTGGAGATAGGTTGCAATTTTGGTTGCTCAAAAAAGATTCCAAGAGAAAAGTTTGCCGAATTACTTGAGGCGTTTCAAGCTCTCTCTAGATCCGAACAAGATATTTTTTAATGGCACAACTGAAAGCAATGAATGGTGGAGAAATAACCGCCAGCCGACGTCTTAAAAAAACGCGTAGTAATAAGCGGTCGTTTTACTACTGAGATCGCAATACGCCGTTCGTCAAAAAACGTATCTCAATATGTTAGGAATTGGTCGCGCTCATTGGAAATCATTTAGCGACGAATGGTATAATACCGCAACATAAAACGAGTGCCGCGATGGAAACACCAAAATAACCATTGATATTGCCGTTGCTAAAGCTGTGAAGAATTTTCTCGAAAACTATGCCGAAATCCATGGATTACCAAGTCCTGGTGGAAACGTCAATCGAATTACTCAACAGTTGGCACTTTTGCCTGCCCTGCTGAAACGTGTTACAAATCGGTCTATCATAATTCTATTGCCGGTCTTGAAAATGATAACACGTTGAATTGTTAAAATGCGATGCTATCATTATGACACCAATTAACGTCTTATTATTGTATTCAAATCAAGAGTCCAAAAACGTATTTATGTGTCAACGTGCCATGCTCGGAACGGCTTGCAGTATAATGCTCGTACAGAAGAAGTGAAAGCAGTACAAAGAACATTAGGTAAAGAGAAATTATTACAACAAAAATACGAAATTAGTAGGCGACAGAGAAAATTAGTAGATGAGCATTTTAGAACAAAAGGTAAAGCGTAATAATTGTAGTGTTCTACTGGTCATTATGTTACGGTTGGGCACAAAACGTTCGCATGCCTATTCAGATCACAATTTACAGTCCGCTGAAATTAAAAATGTCTAGAATATTCGTTGACATAAAAGGAGCGATCAACCTTGTCCACTTTTGGTAAAATCCCTGACTGTAATCGTATTGTAATCCATAAATTAAACACTGATATGCAAACTTTTGGTCGACGCAACAATGTCTTACTTTCTTCCTCACTTGACCAACGGTAACTATTTCTCTTGTCCACGTATTTTAAACAAAACCTTGCTGATTTCATTACCTCTTACTTCTAAGGTTGGCAAGTTGACCAAGCCATTCTATCAGAGGAAGATAGAGTGGTTGTGATTAGGTTTGGACATGATTGGGTGAGTATTAACGAGTTTATGGTGATAAAGTAGTAAACATAACTCACGGTACTTTGAATGCAGGATCCGACCTGTATGAAGATGGACGAGACGTTGTATGGTATCGCGGAAAAGGTCAAGAATTTTGCCGTCATTTACTTGGTGAGCTATACATACTAAATAAAAGGTGAATTATTTTATCGTTTAAAACTTGCGCTTACTGACCTGCTGCTTTTGTAGGCTGACATTACAGAAGTACCCGATTTTAATAAAGTAATTATAACTGCTTTCTAATACAAAGGCAATTCTATATACGATCTAACTCGAATGATTTCTTTGTAGATGTACGAACTTTACGATCCGTGCACTGTAATGTTTTTCTTCCGCAACAAACACATAATGATCGATCTAGGAACAGGAAACAACAACAAAATCAATTGGGTAAGTAGTAGAGTAATGCTGTGTTGAGTCTAAACTACAATTTGCGACGCCCATGTTTAGCCCTTATTATGAATTACCCTTTCGCATAGGCACTTGAGGACAAACAAGAACTTATAGACATTATCGAGACTGTTTATCGGGGAGCACGCAAAGGGAGAGGTCTTGTTGTATCCCCGAAGGACTATTCTACGAAGTATAAGTACTAAGGAACACAAACACTTTTAGATACAATACCTTGTATAACAGCTATTGGGTAAGATGTTATTAGTTTTCTGTCGGAAAAATCGGTGTGTAGAGATGTAATGGGTGAGATCGACGGCATGACATAGATTAGAGAACCGAGCATAACGTGAATAGTAATGTAAAAGTTAATAAATTCCTTTTGCTCTGAAGGAAGTTTAGCAAATATATAGACTTGATGTGTGGTGGCGTATCGATATCCATGTACGGAAGAGAGAGTGAAACCAAGAGGAACGTGACTTTTGCCGGCAATAATGTAGGAGATATGGTTACTCACAGGATAAGATGCAAAGGATTTCTGGATAAGGTGGACGAAAATTCGTTGAATACATACTATTTTACAATGCAGATTTGCATTCAAACATCGGCGAGTTACGATGTATTAAATGAGAAGGATAAGATCTTTTGATGCCGGAATCACGGATTAAGGATGGACAAAGACCAGCAGAACGGGGCGAGAAACATTCTGCTCAAACTGTTGAGTCGGACAACCTGACGCCTCTGACAACGGCGTCCTTGTATAAAGATGCGTTTGATAACATCTATTGCCAAATGCGTTTCTTCTGGCATTATGGGGGTTCGTTTGTATGCACTTATGAATCAGGTGGGAATAACACTGGATCGTGTCATACTTTGACTGAAAATGAGCTAATTTAGAGTCAATTTTGAAGGGAAAATTGACAAACCATAGTCAACAATTCATGCTCAAATGGTGAATAAGATTAGTATTAATTCGCTGTTTCATAAGCATCTTCATCGCTTATGTAAATGAAATAAATTCATTCATCGGATAGTTATTCTATTCTTTATGAGGAATGCTGCAATAAAAGCAGCAGGCAAAAATGAAATAAATTTAGTCAGTTCTAGTCCATCTCGGCAATAAAATTAATTGTATGAGCATTAGTTCAATTTCTGTTGGCCTTAAATGCAAGTGAATGTCCTGCTAATTTCTTGAATCCAGTAATCAAATCGTTAACGGTCGCATAATTCATCTGATTGAGCCTAAATCCTTCAGGAACAACAACACCGTGCTGCGAAATTAAGGAATTCGTTGTAGTCAATAAGTATTATCATACTTGATGATATTCACAACAATCACTCTGGTAGTTTACCCAATATACGGTTTCAGTCCGTAAAGAATTCCGAATGCCAATCAAAAATCCACCAGCCTTTTCTTGATCAAGACAAAACCCATAAGCAGCAAACTGTGGGCTCCATTGTAATTGTTTAAGAAGATAGTTTTCTACATACAGGAGGAGAATTAGCAAGATAGATAGATTTGTACATTACAAACAACTAATTCGGAATACATACCAAGGGCAGCTTTATCCGTTCTGAATTTACTGTGATTAAGTAACGAGCCCAACTTGCGAGCGGATGAGTCAATGTGATGGACCAGCAATTCATCGATTTCGCTGTATTCGTACTTTCCGACCTTTACTCTCGCTTTACCATCAGGCCCTTTTGGTAATTCCATTACATCTAATTGATAAATGACATTAACAGCTGATATAAGCACAAGTTTCATATTTCCATCGCACAATCATAAAAGTAGACATATTTACCAAGATGCTGATAAATGTTTGGGGCAACTTTCCATGTACAACCGATAACGTTAGGCCCTTTTGATGAAGGTCTGAGGACAGTTTCTCCTCTGCGTTTGTCCTCTAGATGTTTCTCAGCCTCGCTCCAAGTCATATCCTTGAATAAAGAGTGATGTAATATACGTTTTTGGGGAAGTTTTTGTGGCGGCCGGCGAGCTACTATATTATCGGGGCAAAAAAAGTGTCAACGATCAAATAGAAAAAAAAATTTTTTTTTTTTCATTATTGCAACCAAACCTTTTTGCGTCCGTGTAGCCAGTGCTTCTGCAGCTCTATCATAGTATAGGTCAGGCACGATCGAGTTATCCTCTTCAACGTCTATTACCTCATTAGGTTTACATGTCAATTCAACCACTAGTTCGTGTTTATCAACTCTTACTACTTTGCAGTCAACGGTCTGACCCTCCTGAAGAACCAATCTAGCATCAGATAACGGTTGATCAGTGATTCTATATACATTAATTATAGCATCAAGTCCTGAGGCCAGCTTGCAATTAACTATTTTTTCTTGAACTCTAACTATCTGAACGTCGGGTACAAAGCATCCGGGATAAAGTGTTTTGTCGTTTTCCCTATAAATATACTCAAATATCTCATCAGGGCTGGGTTTCTTGAATTCCGCTCGCATGTCCTTATACGGCTCTTGTAATTCTTGTTTTATAAGATATAGTCCATAACTTCTGACAGATCTGTAGATATTGGCTATTTCTTCTGCATATTCGTCCAGTGACAAATCATTCAGTTTGTCAGGTTCGCGCTCCATTATCCTCCGGACATACGTCGCTGCTGGTTCACATTCCATTACATCTTCTACGTCAGCATCAAGCGCATCGCATACCATCTTACGGGCTATTGGATAATCTTGAGGATGGATACGGGTCGTATCCAGTGGCTCGGCTGTCCCATCAATACGAATAAATGATGCGCAATTCTCGAATATTTTAGGCTTAAGAATCTTTTCGTTTTTGAGAAATTCTCTTGACAACTGCGAATCCATTCCCAATTCCCGCCTTAGTCGACCTAAACTGTCCAAAAGGCCCTTTGCTTTGCGAGGCCCGAGACCACTAACATACTTTACTACATTCGCCAAATATGGATCATCCAGTGCAAGTGAAAGATTTACACCAACAGAGTTTGTTACATCAATTATAACACGCTCGAGTGCTTCCTTTAGCTTCTCACGGTGAACCTGTTCCATAATGAACAAACACACAAAGTTAATCTTCAACGGCGACAATGATAATATCAACGACAGCAATAGTACGAGTAACTATGAAAGCATGACACATAACGCAATGTCTTTTGTCAATCAACTTACCAATCTCTGCATCGGATGTAAATCAAGAAGAGTAGTATCATCGCCTAACGCAGTGTACTCATGAAGAGGTGTCTGGACCAGTCGTGCAATTGACGCGCAGTATCGCTTCAACTTGTCTTTCTCCTCTCTGAATTTTATGTTCCAAGGTTTACCCGCTTGAGAGTCACGTTTACATAGTCTCGCAACTTCATCATTCACGACAAGAACGTCAATCTCGTCTTCAGTGTCCTCTCTATATCTCCTATTATACTCTTCAATAAGAGCATTAACCTGAGTCAATAGACTTTTGGTATGTGATGAATATCCTGCCACCACCGCAACTTCAGGTCGCTTCTTTCTCAAAAAGTCAGTAAACGCTTTGCGATCTCGAGAGGCTCTCTCTTGAAGTTGGATGTCCTTTTTTGGATTTGGTGGTCGGAGATCATTAAGCGTAAGCATTGATATTCGACGATGTTCGTCTATAAAGACAACTTCGATATCTTGAGGTGTTTCCTCGTCTCCACATGTGAGCGCAATGACACGCGGGAGCATGTCTGGCTCGAGATTATGGCCTCCGTAAGGGCCAATATTAATTTTCTAAATGTACAAATAAAGTTCGTAAGAACAAGCGCGTTATGAAATGTACGGTAGATTAATATTTACCTTCTCAAATTTGCTTCGGCATGCACTTAGAACATAGTCTTCGGCGTCAGCCTTCAGTTTAGCTCTAAGCCATTTATCCATATCCTTCTCCAGCCAATCACTAACTGCTTTGTCAATTATGTTACACCGATGAGAATCCCATTGGACTCCATATTGACTGGTACTATCGCTTTTCATATATTGATACATTTCTTCGACTAGATTTTGCTTATTGCGAAGGCATATGACAACATTAGTCAAGCCGTCTTTTTCAGAGTTCAATATCTGAAGGAATTGTCCACTATTGGCAAATGCGGAAACTGGTTTTTTTAGGAACTTAAATGGCTACAATGGAGAATCATTTCGATTTCAGAAGAGATTGAATATGATAATAGTTGACGAGGAAATTTGATGATAACAAGCATACCCAGCATGGGTGCTTTTTGCTAACAATCTCGTTGAGACCTTTGTCTGTCGGCGATACGGTAACCTCTGCATTTTGTTGATATAACTGACGGAAAGCTTTCTTTATTTGAGGATCATATGCGAGTTCGCTTGCGAGCATAAATTTTGCATCTATACAACAATATTGATTATTAATTCTGTCTAATGACGAATTAGGAAAAGTAAAATGGTAAAACTTTACCTTCCATGAGTTGTGTGGCTGTAGTACGTCCTAATCGAGGGCCATTATCATCTGCAGATGCCATGGCAATGTATTCTTCTGCTGCTTGCTCTGGATATTTTGAGACATCATTTGGGAAATGCATTTTATTACGGTAAAGAAAGCTTTTGGCGAACGCTCGCATATCTATTCCAAAATGCTAATATCACAATCGGCGAGTTTAAAGTACATACTCGCACAAGTTAGAAAGATTTAAAGATAATGAATAGAAAAGTCTGAAAATTTACCTTAACAAAGCCTTGAACACCCCGGCTTCGACACCTTTCGTAGTATTTAAATTTATCTGCTTTTCTTGGGCCTCTCTTATCTGGCCTTACTATTTGGTCACAATATTTCAGACTCCAATATTCTCTCAAATCGTTAAGCTCTTCAATGCGTTCCGCCTGAGGTATCATCTCCTCTACATATTCATCAGGCTTTGCGAGCTTTGATATGTACTGTCTTAGCCTTTCGCGTGCTTCTATTAGTGCATGAAACTTTGTGTCCAAATCATATATTGTCCAAAGGTCTTCAGTTGTGAGTTCTCGATCTCTCGAATGCGGAAGTAAATGATCACGTCGTTGTGCAATTATGTAAGGAATTTCAACTAGTTCTTGACTGAGATCTTTGACAATATATCCAACTGTATCCTGTACTTTAGCAGGTTCAGTGCCTTTCTTTTCTGCAAAGAATTTAGACACCCAACTAGTCTCTTCTTCTATTTCATCTGGAGTAAGCTTTCGTTTGCCATCAATTCCTTCGCGCAATTGCATACGTTCCGGGATGTCAATTTTCCGTATAAGTTCATCTTCGTCAGTCATCATTCGGATCTTGAGCTCATTCGGTGAGATCATCTGTTAAACGTTTAGTCAGCAATCATAGTTACATACTGGACTAAGAGGTAAACTCCATGCGTATATATTACGTTATACGGGTTTGAAAAAAGTAATACTTGGTGTACTCACTTCTTTAATATCCCTTGTTATGGGCTCTCTCCTCGCCTCCTAAACATCATAATACGGCAGAATCAATAAATACACATCAAGATCGATTCTTATATAGACTAGCAACGAAATTGCGGAAAATACCTGAAGAGCCCATAAATAATCTGCCTTATAATCAAAGAGTTCATGCCACGTGGACTTGGCCCTAAGATGATAAAGCCGTTTTCAGCGTGATTTTAGATCCAACGTTAAATTTATAAGTCAAAACGAAAATCCTTACTCTAAATCCTCGGCACTCAAAGGCTCCCCCGCTTCATCAAGCGGAATTCCATCACCCATCTGATCATCTACAGCCATGCCACCATCGTCGTCATCGTCGACGATGAACGTGTCGAGGTCATCACCAACAGCTTCTTGATCTTCGTAGTCTTCATCAAAAATTCTGGATAGATCGTTGCGGCGTCGGGTTGGCTCCTCTCTGCCACGTTTCTTGAGTCTCTTTAACTTTCGCTACATTAAATAAAAGTCTATTAATGTTCGCGTAACGTGAACAGCTTGGAAGAGATTAACAAAACGTACCTCGCTTCGGTTCATTGTCATGCCTGTATTCTCTTCAACGAGTTCTAAATCTTCATCGTCTAAATCGTCGTCGTCACCTGTGGAAGCGATCAAAAAATTAGTAAACTCTAAACAGAAAGGAGTAACAAGAAAACAATTCATACTTTCTATTCTCTTCTCTCGCTTCCGTTTCCTTCGACGAGATGAACGAACTTCATTCTTAGCCTCTTCTTCTTGCTCTTCTTCTTCTTCGTCGTCGTCGTCGTCGTCGACGATAAAGTCTTTAGCAATCTAGTGAAAAGGGTAGTTACAGGTTAAGATCGCAGTTGATAGGCATGGCATATTTGACAAATATCGAAGATCTACTTTGGCTGCTTCTTCTTCATCAGTAGATTCTTCTTCCGACTCTTCTTCAACTTCCTCCTCCTCCTCCATGGCTTCATTCTGTATAAGTTCTCCGTCCTCGTTGATGATATCTTCGTCTTCAACCATTTTTATATATGAATTAATAGTTAATCTTTAATAACCTACAAATTCCCCGCGCTTTTTATATAGCCGACGTTATCACGTGCACTAATTATCAAATATATTAATTTACATATTAGTATACAACTGTGTGTAAGTAGAATATCCTTCAACATAGCCTTGCAACTTAAAATCGTATCATACTTGTATAGAATATGAGTCAATACTCAGACGACGAAGGAACTAGACCCTCGGGCTGGGAGGAAGACGATGAAGAAGAACCCCAGCCAAACGATCAGGGAGGCGATGACTATGAAGTTGAGGAAGAGCAGGAGGAAGACGACGAGATCGAAGAAGAAGACGAGGACGAGGACGACGACGAATATGAACAAGAGAGTAAAAAGGTAAGCATGTAAGAGCAAAACCTGAAACCGGCTGACTGTAGCATTGAACAGAGAGGGCGATCAAGAGGCTATTTATTTCAAAAGGACTGTTAAATATTTCGGAATACGCTCAGAGTCTTTGTGCTAATTCGATTATCAATTATACAGAGAAGTAAGAAGCGTCGTAAGGAAGAAAAGAATCTCTTTGTGTTAGATGAAGCTGAAGTAGATGACGATGATGAAGATGATGAGGAAGAGGAGGAAGGTTTTCAGGATAGTAAGTATATGCTCAACGGAGTATATTATGAAGCAACACATTTATACCTTTCATTTACATATACATTTTCCCCCCCTAGCCTTTATTGCCCGTGATGAGCCAGAAGAAGACCGCTTATCAGCGCGAGCAGTCCGACGTGCACGATTTGATCTAGAACGCGAGGAAGAGGATGCTTTCGATGCCCACGAGATGGCAGCACGACTCAAAGAGCGCCATCGACGTCGTCCACTGCGGATGGCAACTGATACAGCCATTCCGGCTGTATTGCAGCTTGCTGATGTGAACGAGCCTAATATGTGGGTTGTTCGATGTAAGGTTAGTTTTGTGAGCTTGAGAACGAGCCAATTATATAAAATATACTCATCCTGTTGATAAATGACAGCCCGGCAAGGAAAAAGATATTGTTCTCACGCTCATGAGACGAGTCAGCGACGCCGAGCAATACGGAGGATCAACTTCAAAGATTTTTTCTGCTTCTTGTAGAGATTCCTTAAAGGGTTATGTGTACATAGAAGCGAGAAAGCTCGCCGACGTTCAAGCGGTATGTATATGCGACGCAATGGAAAGAATGATGAATCTCTTATTTATTAATCTCTTCAATTTTTTTTCTTGATTCGATAACATTTAGGCTGTTCAGAATGTCAACAATGTATTTGCTACAAAAATACAGCTTGTGCCTGTAGACGAGCGTGCTGATGTAATTGTAATAAAATCTAAACGCGTCGATCTTAAACCCAATAGTTGGGTAAAGATTAAGAAAGGTCGTAACGCTGGAGAATTGGCGCAGGTACTATATTGCTTCGCGCCTATGGTAGGGTATGTGTACTCTTAACAAGATTGCTCATGATATAATATGATACGATAGGTTGTTGACATATCAGAAACTGGAGATTCGGCAAGAGTTAAACTTGTGGCAAAGAAAGATGATCCATTGTCCGGGGATAAACGTAAAAAGCCGGCACATGCTAATAATTATAAGCGCGGATACATAGAGAGAGATGTCAAAATTTCAAACCTGGTTAGTATATAAATCGCTTTTTCGCTATTATTCAAATGAAGCTTACTAACTCGAATTGCAAACAGATCGTAGATGATGTAAGTCCATCAGTTGACGAAATCACAGCGTTTGCCGCAGCTCAGTTTGAGGAGGGAGCTACAAGTAAGCTAAACATAAATGAACGGTTATAATTTGCAACCTTCATTTTCACTTTAATAATAACTTGCCTGCTTCCGACCATAGTCGCAACCTTAGCCATCGACAGCCCACTCACGGCGGCCATCAAAACTGATTTCCAACCTGGCGACATAGTAGAAGTAGTGGATGGTGGTGAAGCAGGCTTGTATGGAACCGTTGATGTAGTAGAATTGGGGATGGTCACCTTTACTGTTTCGCCTGACATCAACAGTGGCGCATTACAAAAAGCTGTTGTGGAAGCCAGTCGATTGAGGAAAAAATTCTCACAAGGAGATCATGTTAAAGTACTTAATGGCAAGCATAAAGATGCCACGGGAATGGTATTAGAAGTCAAAGGAACAACAGTTACTCTGGTTCTCGATGATACTATGGAGGAGGTAAACGGCTATTGTCAACTCGTTGAATATTGCTTTTAAGGAGTTTACTGGAACTTTGAATGATCAACCTTAGGCTGTGGTGTTCTCAAAAGATGTCAAGAGAGCTGCTGATGCCACAAAGAGTGTGACGTCTGAGAGCAAATATGAACTACATGAATTCGTTCAGCTATTGTGAGTATTTTTGGTATCTCACAAGTTTCCTTATTGCTTGATGAGTTCTAATTTATTTTCTTCAAAGCAATGGTACGTATGGTATCATTGTCGGAATCGAGCGTGGATCCTATCGTATCCTTAGTGACGACGGGATTGTACGAAGCGTTGAGGCAGTAGAGATATCAAGGAAGCTCGATACTCGACGGGCGCAAGTCAAAGATTCACACGGAAATACCTTACAGCAAGGCGACTTGGCACAAGAAACTATTCGAGAGGTTGGTTATATAATAATGCATAATATGTGCTGGTTTGAAACAACATTTCTTACAGAGATTTTAACTAATGTAGATGCGTGAGGGCAAGATATTACATATATTCAAACACACGGCCTTTTTATTATCTCGTGACGTCTCTGAAAATGGTGGTGTGTTTTTCACACGATGGAAAAGTCTCATCAACAAGAATTCAACCACGGTAAGCAACCGACTTTGGCTACACTTTTATTTGCTTTTCGGTTGCCTTGTCTGACTTTTTATCTCGTTGTTATTGCACGCAGACCGCACCGAAACTCGATCAAATAAATCCAGCAGTTTACGGTAACCGGCAGTTGGATAGATCTCAAGGACAGAATCGCGGTTTCAATAATCGTGGTTATGGTGAAAGAGGAGGATATGATCGCATGCGCGGAAAGAATGGTAGAGGACGAGGAAGAGGACGAGGAAGAAAGGACCATTTAATTGATCAGACAGTTACTATCGTCAAAGGTCCTTATAAAGGCTATATGGGTATTGTAAAGGATACCACAGAAACCATGGCAAGAGTGGAATTGCATACGGATAGTAGAATATTGAACGTTGAGAAGGCTAAATTAATGATGAAAGAGTACGTGATGAGTTTTTTTTCTGCTTTATTCTGAACTTTGTGGTGTCTAACTGCTTTTGCACGATCTCCGTCTATACACAGTTCGAGCGGAATTATCCGACCAATTGCATCTGACTTCCAACCCAGAGAGCGCGATCTAGATACGTCCAGCAATTACGGCGCATCGTCACCTTATTCCCCCAGTGGTTGGTCGTCATCTCCTCGTACACCGTCCTGGGCTGGTAGCCGTACACCGGCCTATTCCTCGGCTATGACACCCAATCCACACGCCGACGGCTCGCGCACGCCCGCTATTCATTCAATGAATGATGGCTCACAAACACCGGCATGGGACATTGGCAGTAAAACGCCGGCATGGATAGGCGGATCAAGTGATGGATCGCCGCGATGGGGCGATGGCGGGTTAACTCCTAGGTGGAATGATATTTCTGCACCTACTCCTGCCCCGGAGACTCCGAGATTTTCTGCACCGACGCCGGCGCCAGTCACACCCAATTTCCTTGCGGCAACACCTGCTGCGGATGGGCCGAATTTCGTGCCAACGCCGAAGCATCTTCCACCCACTACTCCTGAGCCTATGACTCCAGGACTGTTTGTACCGGCGACTCCACACTTCATACCTGCTACTCCCATGGCTGCTGGCGGTGATTATGCTGATGGGACCTTGAATTCGGAATAATGAAATCAGTTTTATAATTAAATAAATTTAATTCAAAAATTCGTTTAATAAAAGTTTGATATGCGCTGTATACTTGGGATTACAAATCGCGATTGGGTCATAATTGGGTCATAATTTTAATTTAGGCCATTAAAGATTGTAACACCACGAGATTTTTATTGTCAAGTAATAGTAACGTGATCATTCGAATGACAATTTGACACTCCTACCCCAACTGAGAAACCAGCTTTTGCACGATCTAAACATGAAAGAAGAAACAAAGGTTCGCTTAACCCTGGCTAAAGCTTAATGTCTCGTTTTATAGGCCTTCTTATTCATACCCTTTACTACAGGAAAAAATTAACAAAATCACAGAGATAACGAAAACTATCATTCACTGGGGCTTCATACCTTTTGTAATTTACTTGGGTAATGTACCCGAGTCGATCTCTCTCAAACGGTTACTGCCATATTAATAATAAACTTTTTTATAGGCTATACGAGAAGTAACCCGAGACCTTCTCTCATAAGGTACGTGCAAAAAAAATTTAATATATGAGATCTCGGCGCATTTTGGGACAACTACTGAGTAATATTTACTTTTTACAGGCTCATAAGCCCTCTAGCTTGACGAATTTGCAAGGTTGAAAATTCTATCCACTGGTAAGTAGGAAAGTGGCTGCCATCATTTTGGGGTTTATAAGACCCGCATTACACTTTTTGCAATAGCGGAAACACGTCTAGATCATTTAATTTAATTTACAATTGAATCCGAAATGGTTTCAATGTTAATTTATTTATATTTCAGATAACGGTAGAAATTCGCAAAAGTCGAGAACTTTATTTGGATAAAGCGAAGCCAACCTGTAATGAAAATGATTGTATTAAAATCTGTTGATAAAAAAAAACTGCAATGAAGCATAATAAAGACAAGTAAACGTACGCGATCTTTGCCAAGATCGTAAATTGTATAGAATTTACGGAGGAACGCATCACCGACTATTGAGATGGCGTGTTAGCATGTATTATGTATCGTCACAAAATTTCCGACAATTGTTTATAAAGCTTACCGATCCAGATAGGACCAAGAGGTGCGGGAATATCAAGGCCCATGAAAGCAGAGATACATTGGCGTTGGACTATGTTAAAAAGAAAAAGACAGGATCAGCAAAACATGCAGGCCTGTATCTGTTATAGTTTCCCACATATCCCACAATATTACCTTGTAAGATGTAGTCATCACCATTAAGTGTATAGTTCACACCGCCAAACTGGAAGGTAAAGTCTGGCAAAGTCTTAACCTTATCGCATTCGATGACATATTGCCCAGCAAAGTTCTTCTTGGCACCAATCTGCTTGTTTATGAGATCGGCAACAATCGACGGGACGGCAATAAGAGAAGTACCAGAATCGATAGCAGCACCTGTGTTTTCGAATTTAACCTCTTCCCCACCAAAGTAGACGGTCTCCAGTTCAACTTCCCAGTAAGCCTTTCTGCGAACCGGAGCCCATTTAATGTCACCAGCGATATGATCATAATCGATACCACCAAATGCCAATTCACCACCTTCCCCATCCTTTTCGGTATCACCAAGCCAGAAGGAGAATACGGGATCAATACCGAGGTCGCTGACCATCTTGTAGAAGGGAGGAACGACGCGTTTGACCGCGATAGTATCGTATCCTTGATTAATTTACAAAAAGCGAAGATATGAATCAGTTTATTATTACGTGCCGCAGCAGATGTACGTATGCGTATGTACAAGTGTGTGTGAAAATATGTACCGAGTCCAAATATTCCGTCGAATTTTCCAAAAGCAAAAGCCAAGCCGGGCTCCTTGGTCGACTCGCCGAAATCTAAATCTTTCAGTTTCCAATCTCCTACAGTCAACACGTCATTGCTAATAATACCCTCCAAACTCCCACTGCCGTATCGGATAGCAAATTCTGTTCCATTCTTTCTGAACGTTTTTGAGGCCTTGGAGTCGTATCTACGATGCAGGAAGCATGCAATTGAGGAGCAGTGGGTAGATGGAACCCACAGATTCGATGAGCCGGTATCAAAGATGACGGAGAATGTCTGTTCTGGAGTACCGAGTCCGATCTCACCATAATACTATATATAGGGAGACGATTTAAAGACCATAAGTTTAAAGATTAGTCGTTGCATACGATGTGCAAGTGATTGGCGGCAAAGTATCGATGTAAAATATTGTGTAATATGTTTCCACTAAAACAAAAATGATATAAATAGCTATCGCCTTTACCTGGGCGTTCATATAGTTTGAAAGGGGTATACCCTGGTAGTCGTTTTCCACAACGCCAGAGACGAATACTTGATTGTTCTCTTGTAGACGACGTGAAGTGGGAAAGTATTTCTGAGTTAAATAGTCACCAGCTGAAGAATAACGCTGAAGCTTTTGAGCGGTCGTTTCAGGAATCTTTTTAAGCCGCATTCTGTTATTGGGAAGTTTGTTAGCACGTTTCCAAACAAATTAGTACGAGTGTTCCAACATGTCCAATAAAGTCCTTACTTATGGATAGCAGCCTCGGTAAAAGTGCCTAGCGAGGCACCCAGAAGCAATAGTAAACTAAACTTCATTTTGTCTTGGGTTTTTCGTTACGAACTATCAAAGCTTTATGGCAGTAGGGAAAGATAGTAGAGACCTAGGGGGATGAGGGGTAAAGGGTGCTGGAGCGGGCGTCAGACGTGAGAAATACGCCCCATTCAGGGTCGATGACACAGATAAATTGCCGCGCAACCCGAATCCTGATAGTTGACCATCGATAATCTTGGTTTCCAAAAGGTCTTGTGCGCCAATCCCGCCAATCTATACCTGGTTAGATTGCCAGCGTAAACAATAAGGTCGGGGAGATATTAATCGACCGTATTTCGAGAACGATCAAATCGGTTTAGACCAGAAAATTTGAGGGTTCGAATTCTAGTCGAATTGTAATGAGAATGTTCACATATCAACAAGGAGTCCTAGTTAAAGTTTCACGATCAGCATGATGGTCTAACTGATCGACGCGATCAGTCAACGGTTCATTACTTAAAAAATTAGCATGAGTGCGCACGTACCTTCATCTTTTTCGTAAAGATTTCCTTTACCATGATTATGGGTGTGAAGAAGCCGCTGACTTAACTTTTTCACATGAAACATTTTCATGAAGAAAGAGAATCCCCAGTTGACTTTGAATGGGACTATTTGGTAGAATCAAACTATGCGCACTTGATGAAATGATAGGATTTGTTATGTATTGGCCCAATTTTAACTTTATTGATCAAAGAACTTTTGATATTAATAGTTTTGTGTCTGTGGTTATCGTTTGTACTTAAACAGACACATGTAACAGTCTCGTGCATGCATCAACTTAACTCGTCTTGGTTAAATACATTCTCTCTAAAAACATCGATTGACTGGCATTATTTAAAAATGTCGTTCTGTTTATCTCTTTGCTGTACAGTGCCTTTCAAATCCATTTTGCTACTGCGGTGTATTCATCGTCCTTATCTTATGTCACCTAGTCGCTGCCCAGTTTTAGAAAACCTATAGATTACGTAAGTGAGTTCTATACGTCATATCACGCACACGTTGATGTTGATATTCAGCGAAAATTAAGCGGAACGTTTGTTTTTACACAATCGATAATTTGTTTCTTCTTGATGGTGGAAGCAAATCAAAACTTTTGCTGAGGTATCGTCTTGACCAAGCCTACGTTTGACCATGATATATAAATCAGTTTATGAATCAGATATTTGAATATCCCATCTCTGCAAAGAGATCTTTTAGTACACCCACGTAATAGCACAATCTTCATCTCCGGAAGTTTTTTCCGGGTCAATGTTACATCCCCAGCCTTATCGCAACGGGTCCCTGCATGCAGTCGGAATACGGCGAAAACACCGAGTGCCAAGGCGAGTGAAAACTTTCTTTAACCTAACAATACTTTCTTGATTGCTAGCATTCCGGATAGCTTTCGTAACATTTATAATTTATCTTTCTATTCTTACTTACCGCTAAAATTCTGTGAATACTTAATGATATTCGTATAAATAAAACACTGGTACTATTATAGAAGTTTTTCTTGTACGTTTGCATGCTTACCTATAAACTTTTGATATTATACTCATTTCGAACATAAGATATTCATCAACTCACAAATGTAATTGCCAAAAGTGATTCATATTTGTAAAATTTGTCGTCATATTTGTTTACCTTCATTCTGCGCCAAATTATCTATCGTTATGTTGATTCACTAGTCTACACGGTTGTTCAGTAAGCCAATACTGTGACGTCATATTAATATACTTTGACTCCCGTATAAAAATATTACTATAATTAAGATTATCGTGCGTGCCCTATTATATTTCAAATACGCTTTTGTGAATAAACCTTTATAATTATATTTTGGGTATTTACCGAGTCATGTAAAGTTCGATAGACCGACCATTCTTGACTCGTTCTGAGAAATCGTCTGATCATCTGCTTGATATATAATTAATAATGCAAACCGTAACCAAGATACACGTAACTCAGCGGAATATTTTCACACAGCTGAAAAATCACGAAATTGGAGAAGCAACGTCTCGATGGATCCAGTGTAAGGATACTAACCAAATCTAGTTAGTATGCTATTAGAGCACATTCGCTCCTCCGAATATCCAATGACTACGGTTTACTAAAACTCAAAATTGATGACTTCTAAAGGGTGATGATCTAATATCATGAGCTGCGACATATTAATATCGTAAAGCATTGATTGGGGACCAACGTATAATTAATCGAATTGAATTGCATCGTATATTTTTACTTAAGAACCTTTTATAGTATTAAGTTTTCTGCTGTATGATAATAAATCGCTAATTGGATGGGTTGTAAATTCGATCGGTGACCACTGAACTAAGCAGTCGACCGTATTCATGTTTGGCGGTAGGAAATACCTCATATCAACGTAACATTGCGTCAGATCTTTTTAAGCGTCATTATATACGTGGAAAGTTCTTGCCGCTTGGCTTATTTCGAAAGTTGCGTAGTAATTTTAAAACTGACTGAACTATTCTTTCAAAATAGTCTCCTCCTACTTTTGTACATTTTGTAATCCTTCCACCAACTTCCAAAAGACGTGGTGATACTCTTCTTATGAGATGCTAAAAACAACTGCCCGAAGGCCTTAATCCTGCAATGCTTTTTTTTAACCAAGTCATTTTATAATTCTAACAAAATGACATGGACAAAATCAAGGCGTAGAATAGATGAGACAATAATTTAGATGTGTTATGAGGCATAAGAACTTTTTGAACCATCATGTAATAAAGTGATGTGTTGGCTTGAATTTGATTTCTCGGAAAGGATTAATGTGCATCCAACTCATGTGTCAACTTGAGAAATTTCGAATGTCGGCGGCCGCAATGCGCCAAGAAATTCTTGTTTCAAGTGATGCTCACAACCCACATTACCAACTGGAAGCCAAAGCGCTAATGTCACAAAACCGAGACTTGCAGAATTTAGCCCAATGGGACTTTTATTTGAAATACTATATTAACTATTGTTGTTGTTATTATTATTATTATTATTATTATTATTATTATTATTATTATTATTATTATTATTATTATTATTATTA